GCCAACTATCCCATCTATCCCTCAACCAACTCTCCCTCAAATGCCACAAATGAATCAACCAGTAATGCCGAATATACAACAACCTGCACTCCCACAAATACTTCAACCTACTTTACCAACTATGCCGACAATACCACAGAACAATAATATGCCAGCTATCCCTCAACCAATGAAACCTATCATCCCTACACAACAAAACATTCCTCAACCAGTCTTACCAACATTACCAGTTATGCCTCAACAACAAGTCGCTCCACAAATCCCGCAACCAGTGCTACCACAAATGCCAGTAGCTGCTCCGGAGACTAAACCAGTGATGCCAACTATGCCAACGCTCCCTAGTTTCTCTCCTGCTACAACAAATGTTGCGGCAGCTTCAGACGCTGTTGACGAGGCTGTGTGCAAAGAGTTAAAGAATGTGTTTGGCGAAGTGATGAGCACTATTGAGACCAAATCGAAGGGTACACAATACGAGAGAGTCACCACTGTTGCGTTAAAGAGAGGCGCTGCGTTTGAAAACAGCATTAACAAAGTGCCAGCTGATATTGCCAATCATCTCATCGAATTGTTCAGAGATTTGTTGGCAGGAAAGTATCCAGAAGTGGACGCCGCATTCAAGAAGTTGCTCGTGAATAAGAGAATCAACCAATTCATCCCAAGCTCAAGCGTGGTGTCTGTTAAGTACATTATTGATGCCGCTAAACAGCTTAAGTAAACCATTTTGGTTCTTATTTAATGGTTTTAATATTATTGATGTAAATATAGTTATTATAATAAATTTATAGTTTTAATATTTTCTTTATTTGGTTTATTATTAATACTTTTATTTAATAAATATTTGGTTTGATAATATAATTATTTATAAATAGTTTAATAATAAAAGAATAGTATTATCATTATTGTGTTAAAATATTAGTCATCTAACTATTAATAACAATTAAATGCTGTTAGGTCCCAAAAATGAATAAAATATTAGATTTTGTTAGGATTGATAAAATATCTTATGAATTTAATAATAATAATTGAATGATCCTAATTTAACAATAATAACATTTTTGTGAATGACTTTTTTAATTTTTTCTTTTTCAAGTTGAAACAACACATATATTAATTCTAAAATTTCGGGATATTATGCTAATTTAAATATAATAAATTTGTCTTT